CTCCCCCTTTAGAGAACTCCATTAGATCAGAAAGACCCCCCCCCCCCTTATATGAGCATCCCTGTCCATAGATTGCCTTACCACATGGCCTCAAACCAGTAAGTGAAGCCGAAAGCCAGAGTTGGGGAGGTGGAGCAGCTGAGGCTCTAGGGCTATTTTCCAACCCTGCAGTGTGTGTAGGGCGCATATGAAATCATTGAGGTGGGGGAGGTGCCTGGCAGGGGAGGAGGTAGAGACCACAGGAAGGCAGGCGCCTTGGGTGTCTCCTGGGCCCCAGGCGCCACCTTGGGTTGCCCTCTCTGCAGGGCTCAGCCAGGTCACTCTCGGCCATCAGGCAGAGCTGGGGCTCACTGTTGGCTTCTACGCGCAACGTCCATGCCATCTTCCCGGTAAGCCAAATCCGCTGTCCCCAGCTCCCCTCTCGATTGGGGGAGGGTCAAAAGGTGGCAGGAAGCTACAGCCAATGGAGAGGAAGAGAGGCTGCCGAATTATTGCTTCCCCATGTAAGGTAGGCATGTAATATGCAGTCAATGGAGAAGAGAAGTTGAGGAGCTCAGCAGCAGTGGATGGACTGGCGGCAGCCTGGGCGCCAGCACATGATTTCTGCTCGCCATGGCGACCTGACGCCTGGCATTTGTTGAGTCCTGATTTAATGCATTTGGTAAATAACGTGTGGTTTTTTTCATGAATTGACTACTTTTGAGATAGATTCCACATGAGTTATTTTAACTCAAAAATTCATGCGGTATTTAACTCTTAGTGAATTGACCCCTTTTACCCCAAAAAGCAAAAACATTTGGCAAATACATCATAAAATGACATTACAGTCAATTCACTAAAGGAAATTACTAAATAAATAAATGCACAGGTTAAATAAGTAGTGGTCCAGGCTTGCTGTATTTAAGGAATGTAAAAATATAATAGTCATTTTGGACTAGTCTCAACCTGTTTGGATCAGTTCTCTCAACAGTAATGCATAGAAACCTAAATATGGAAAAACACAGAAACATTGGGGGTGATTTATTAAAGGCAAATAGACCATGCAATTTGCAAGTTGCTCCAGAGCTTAGGAAATGAGGTAAAACTTCACTTCACAAAGAATGCCCAATCACATGCAAGGAAAATGATTTAAAAAAAAAAACTTCATTTTTGCTTGCCCATGATTGGATGATGAGAGCCAGCACAGCATCATCTCATTTACTAAGTTCTGGAGCAACTGCTCCTGCAAAGTACTCAGTCTGTGTGCCTTTAGTAAATGAACCCCATTAATTTTAGTGAAATCTGTCTATTTTCTCATGTCATTTCACCAGATTTTCAGAGAGTTTTTTTTGTGAATATACAAGCATATACATTATTTGCTGCAAACAAACTCCCAATCACTCCGTACATACTACAATGTACATATATATCAAAATGGTCTAATCGCTAGTTAGAACATATGTCATATATAGTGGAGATACTTTACTTTTTCACAATTATTTTTAGAGATACCTTTGGCACAAATATTCGCAAGACAGAATGGGATTAGGTATAGACAAGTATTCTTACAAAGGTGTGGAACTTGAGCTGTTAGGAGAGGGGTATCATCAATTGGAAGGTTTGACAGATGGATACCAGAGTGACACTTTCAAGAACATCAGAGAATGACAAGACACAACAGACCTGTCCAAAGATATAGAAATTAGTTCACCAAATATCACAACAAAAATTACTGTAAAGTGAAACTAAATACAAAATGTTCTTTTTCATTTTGGATAGAGTAATGGAGAGTTGGAACCCCTGACAGTTTTTTTGCCATCTGTGTCCCATTGGGGAGATTTCTCCACTATTCGTGTTCAACCCAAAATATGGGAATTTCTTTGCCTTTCACTTTCAGTGATAAGGAGAAACCATAATAATAGAGAGGGTGAATCTCTAATGGGGGAACAACAATACAAACTGCCAGGGGTTCTAATCCTTCTCCACTGTAGCCATCCCACTGGATAGATATTACAGATAGATAGATATTACATTATGAGATACCTCACATTTATGCCTCATTTTGGTAGCCTTTTTTTGAGAATTGCAAAAAAAATAACTCTGTGAACTGAGCCCAATATTCTACATATGAACCTTAGTTTTTTTTATAATTCACAGCTCTTTAATTTATATTTGTTTTGCACATTTGCAAAAGTAAATGTTACAGGGGTTGGGACAAACTACAACATAAACCATTCCTACTTACAAAGGTCACCTTTTATTTTGGGCTATTTTTTGTTGCTGGCCCAGGTACTAGCTGAACAGTTTGATCTGCATGTAAACTAAAAGTGGAGACAAATAAAAGTAAAGACTTGTGGAATTTTATATAATGGGTACGATCGCTACTTTTTTTAACCTTACAGTGTCACATTTTTCACAATAGTGGTCCATTAAAGGAAAGTACTGTGCAGCAGAACTGCAGGCCTTCAGTAGGTGTATTGTATGCAATCGATAGTGTGCTTTTGCCTGTCCAGCCTTTGCAAGGCTAATGTGATGATACATCTTATTGTAAGCAGCTAGTAATGCTGGGCATACACACAATATTTTTCTAGTAATGTTAACCGGTTTATAACCTACAGAAAAAGATTAAGCTAATTCAAGAAATCCAAAAAACAGTTTATATACAATATATTTACATTTATATGGCAGGGATGGCGGTTGGTTGCCTTTGTTCATTTAATAGTTTTTTTAGCAGTTGATAACTGGTTGAAAGTATTTTAAATATATAGTATATTGCTGTTTATGGCCAGCGTGAGAACCATGTCAGACAGGCAATATTCCCCAGCACTGGAAACGGTGAAGTTCATCTATTGTTATTGTTCAAGTTGCTCTGCCACTACCTGAAATACTGCTACAACTCAAAGAGCAGCTAAGGAGCAACATATCGCTACTGCAAGTGGTGCATGAAAGACTTCATAGGTTAAAGTTGAATATTAGTAACTTTTTTGTTGTTGAGGCATCTAACATCGCCTATGGGGGCGACCATGTATTTCCGAGAAGAAGACGGGGCATAGTCTGTCAGGCTGGCGATTTAGACATTGATAGTCAGGCTGACACAGACCCTCACTCCACTTCTTAATGGAGTAAGCAGCTGCCTTACTGACTATAATCAGTTTGCTAGAGCAGCCTTTTTCAACCAGGGTGCCTTCTGTGTTCTTCAGGGGTGCCTTGTCAAAATGCCTAAAATTTTCTCCAAATTGCCCAAAAATTGTGTACAAGGCAGTGGGTGACTCAAGCCTGCTTTTTTGTTACACACAGCAACAGGTTTCCGAACAACCATTGACATCATTGGTTGATAAAAGGACATCAGACACTTGTAAAACAATCTTGTTTGACCCTTCACCCCTCTCCGACAGTATTGGGGTCATGTTAGCTGCATGGAGGAGAGAAAATGTTAACGAGTGCTGGTCAGAGAAAAGTTTAGTATCTTATATGATTCACTGATAGTTTTTGCTGCATATTGTAAATCTGTTGTAGGGCTGTGGGTTTTCTTGAAAGTACAAGTGTTCTTTAATGCTTATCACTTCATTTGTGCCATTCCTTCAGTAAACTTGCTTTTCGTTTTTTTTTTTTTTTTTTTTTTTTTTAATACAAAGTAACATTTATATTACTTTTTCTAACATTTACATTCCCTTAGCAGCCTTTGTTTTTTTTTTTTATGTATTAATTTGTTTGCTAATGGAGGTTTCAGGGGATGATTTTAGCCCAAATAGTAGACTTATTAACTGTGCAGGTGCAGGTAGCATTGATTGGATCAGTCGGGATTGTCCCAATATTAGGATACCTCATAGCTGGAGGATATAAAAAGTCTCTTCTGAATATCTTTATAGGAGTAATGGGTGACAGATAAGACTTTCAGTTCCTAATAATCAGCTGAGCTTTCTCTCATGATTCTGAGGCTAATTATAGAATGTTATTCCTGAGTTCTCCATATCTCGCCCGGCCTGTAATTATAGCGCCACTATTAACGAGCTCCCTTCATAGCCTCAGGCGACAGCTCTGTGAGGTCATCTCTTTGCCTTCAGTCCTGTCTGGCTATCCTCTGCTCACATATTTGCATATGTTACATATGTACTTTTTGTGGTGCTTCAGTGTCGACATCATTTCAAACCCATGTGTCTACTTTGTGATTGAAATGTGTGTGTTACGTATGCTGAGAAGGCTGTTGCTTTGAACCCTAGATTGAAAATCAGATTATGGAGTTTTCAGTATATATCTTTACATTCTTGCAATTTTTTTGCAGTTATTCACTGAAACTCATCAAGCCGATTTTCAGTTTACTGCTGCAGGGCTTGTAAAGAACCTATTTCACTCATATAATACAATTATTACTATTGATATTGATATTAATAATAATAATATTTCTTCTATTATTTGACCTGTCGTGAAGTAACCCTCAGAGTCCTACAATTTTTGTTTTCTTTAATTATAAAGAGAAGCAATTTTTTAAGGTGCCAGCCTGCTCAGCCTGCTAACAGCGTGGATTTAGGACTCTGCAGGCTATTGTATTTAGACAGTAACAGCACTAGCGGTCGTCTTAATACAAGGAGGCTGCTGAAAAGTGATTGAATTTGCTGGGATGCAGTTTCACTGTTCAGTGGATAATTTTCCACCCTGCGCAGTTGATTCTTAACTTGACTTTTGTCAAACTGGGTGGTTCTTGCAGGGCCACCCATCCTTTGAATTCCAGCCAATTCAGAAAGAATCTGCTATTATTCTAGCCATCTATAGGAGCCTTTAGATTTTTGCTACATGCTCATAGCATGATTTTAATAAATAGAGTGAAAACATCAAAACCTACTTGGAGTGGACATTAACATGATGAGGCATGCTTTGTGTGGAGGCGACATACCTCCACTGTTTAGCTACATTTATCTTATGAGTGGGAACTGTCATGTTACATTCCTGAATCTCCTGTCATGTTTGTGCACAGTACAGCTGTCCAGCCATGTTCATGACCTCTCTGTCTCTTTATGCTGCAGTGATTCCACAGAGGTGATGATGCATTCTAACGATGCCTTTGCTCCTGTGGCTTATCTTCGACTGCTGAAGCTTCATTTGAAGGATAAAGTGAGTAATGTTTGTAAACCTTAAAGGGGAGTTTCTTTGAGAACAAAATGAAATGTGTTTTGATATTGTCTTTTTAACATAGTTACACAGTCACATAGTTAATCTGGCTGAAAAAAGACAAAAGTCCATCCAGTCCAACCAATAGAGGGAATAAAACCCCACATAACTAGAAAACCTCCATATATATTGTCCTATACTGACAGTTGATCCAGAGGAAGGCAAAAAAAAAAACCCCCAATAAAGCGTGATCTAATTTTCTCCAGTGGGGGAAAAATTCCTTCTGATCCCCCAAGAGGCAATTAAATATGTCCTGGATCTACATTACCTATAAATATTAGTATCCAGTTATGTTCATTTAGGAGAGATACTAGGCCTTTCTACTGAGCTGGCCAGAACCAGCTCATTGTCAATGCTTATACTGTGAAGAAGCCTTTTCCATATTTGAAGATTAAATTTCTTTTCCTCCAGATGTAAAGAGTTCACCCTTGTCCTCTGTGATGACCTTAAAGTGAATTGTTGATTTTGATCATATCCCCCCTTAATCTCCTCATATCAAGAGAGAAAAAATTTAATTCAGCTAATCCTTCTCATAGTTGAGCTCCTCCATGCTTCTTACAGTTTGGTTGCCCTTTTCTGCACTTTCTCCAGTTGCTCAATAGTCTTTTTGTGGACTGGTGCTCAAAACTGAACTGCATATTCCAGATGAGGTATTACTAATGATTTGTACAGTGGCAAAATGATATCTTTCTCTCTGGAGTCTCTTTTCATACAAGAAAGGATTTTGCTTGTTTTGGAAACCACAGCTTTGCATTGTATGCTATTATTAAGCTTAGGGTCTCTCAGAACACCCAGATCCTTCTTCACCATTGATTCCCCCAGTTGTTCTCCTAATATGTATGATGCATGCATTTTTGTTGCCCCCCAAATGCATAACCTTACATTTATCCCAATCCATCAGACTGTCACCTACCCTCCTTACCTTTAGGCGCACCCTGAAAACCCATCTCTTCAGGGAAGCCTACCCTGCCCTCACCTAACAGCCAATCTCGTCCACTCATCCCGCACAGCCACTTCCTCCTGCACCACTATCCCCTCCCTCCTAGATTGTAAGCTTGAAAGAGCAGGGCCCTTGAACCCCTCGTGTTTTGTTTTGTTACTGTATTGTCTCATGTTCTGTCCCCCACTATAATGTGCAGCGCTGAGCAAACCTTTTAGCGCTATATAAATACTGTATAATAATACTGTAGCAACATTAAACCCCATCTGCCATATAGATAAAGAGTGCATTGAGGTCAGCTTGTAAGTATTAGACATCCTGTATGAATGTTGTTCCACTACATGGCTTGGTGTCATTGCAAAGACTGAAATGTTACTTTTAATCTCAGACCCTGTGTAATTTATAAATATATAAAAAGTAAGGGTCCCAACACTGAACCTTGGGGTACACCACTAATAACCTTAGACCATTCAGAGTATGAATCATTAACCACTACTCTGGATACGCTCTTTTAGCCAGTTTTCTATCCATTTACATACTGATTTTCCAAGCCTGTAGACTTTATCTTACACATTAGCAGTGTGTGGGGAACTGTGTCAAACGCTTTTCAAAATCCAAGTATAACACGTCCACAGCCACTCCCTTGTGTAATGTTTTGCTTACCTCTTCATAAAAAGAAATCAGATTTGTCTGACAACTTCTGGACATGCTGGCTATTGTTTAAAGTGTTTTTTTTTTTTTTTTTTTTTTTTTTTAGCAAAAACTCATCTATGTGGTCTTTTATTAAACTCTCCAGTATCTTCCCAACTATAGAAGTTAAACTAACAGATCTGTAGTTACTTGTTAAACACTTTGACCCCTATTTAAATATTGGCACCACAATGGCCTTAGGCCAATCCAGTGGTACTATGCAAGTCCTTAAAAAGTCCTTAAAAATCAGAAACAACAGCTTTGAAATGACAGAGCTGAATTCTTTTAGGACCCATGGGTGTATGCCATCCGGTCCAGGTGCATTCACGTTTATTCTTTCTAAATATCTCTGGACCATATCAGTTTTGAGACATAATGTTTCATTTGGGCTATCTTAATATCATCCCCATTATGGACATGAGCTCCCCCATACGCCTTTGTATACACAGAGCTGAAGAAGTTTTAATAAATATGCCTTCTCTTTGTCCCCAGTCACCTACTCCAGATCATTTTGTAAAGGGCCTACATGCTCAGACCTGACCTTTTTACTAATAATATATTTGAAGAATTTTGGGGGGGTTTGCCCTACTCTTTTTTGCGATCTGTATTTTGTTTTGAATTTTTGTGGCCTTGATTTCCTTTTTACATTTTTGGTATATTCCTTGTAATATTTAAATGATGATAGTGTTCCAGTGGACATATGTAGGGTTATAAATCATCTCCCATCACTAAGACAGAATTTCATTGCAACCATATTTAGCTTATTTTATGCATGTTATTTACCTGTACAGCGCCTTTAAAAAGTAGACATACCCCTTGAAATTCTCCACATTTTGTCATGTTACAACCAAAAACGTAAATGTATTTTATTGGGATTTTATGTGCTAGACCGGGTGTCGGCAACCCGCGGCTCCAGAGCCGCATGCGGCTCTTTTTCATCTTTGCTGCGGCTCCGGAGCACACTGCCCACCAGGTGACAGGCAATAGGGTTTCAGTGGTCGGCAAGCCGCGGATCGCAAGCCACATGCGGCTCTTCTGTGTGCCGGGCGCCCGCTCCCCTCCCTCCTCTCGGGCGGCCGCCTCAAAAGTCAGGACTCTTTTAATCCGGCCCGCGGAGCGTGGAACATTAGCTGTCAGGATGTAGGCGGGGCAGCCAGGATGTAGGCGGGGCAGCGTGACGAACTCCTCTCACAGTCCGCCCTGAAGACCGGAACACAGCGCGGGAACACAGCGAGAGGAACGCGCGGAGCAAAGGTAAGTGAATTGAGACAATATGGGGAATTAATTACTATAGGGGGGATGAATTATTAAATGGAGGATTAATTACTATGGGGGATGAATTACTATGGAGGATGAATTACTATATGGGGGATGAATTACTATGGGGGATGAATTACTATGGAGGATGAATTACTATATGGGAGGAATATGGTGTGAAATTGATGGTTGAGACGGATGAATTACTATGGAGGATGAATTACTATATGGAGGATGAATTACTATATGGAGGATGAATTACTATATGGGGGATGAATTACTATGGAGGATGAATTACTATATGGAGGATGAATTACTATATGGGGGATGAATTACTATGGAGGATGAATTACTATATGGGGGATGAATTACTATGGAGGATGAATTACTATATGGAGGATGAATTACTATATGGGGGATGAATTACTATATGGGGGATGAATTACTATATGGGGGATGAATTACTATATGGGGGATGAATTACTATGGGGGATGAATTACTATAGGGGGGATGAATTACTATATGGGGGGGATGAATTACTATGGGGGATGAATTACTATATGGGGGATGAAGCTAACTGCACGATCCTGTATATAGCATTAAGGTAAGAAACAATATATGCAGTGTCGGATTTGTTTTAAATGTTGCAATGGTTTTGCGGCTCCCAGTCTTTTTTTTCCCTTCGGAAACGGGTCCAAGTGGCTCTTTATGTCTTAAAAGTTGCAGACCCCCTGTGCTAGACCAACACAAAGTGGCACATAATTGTAGAGTGGAAGGAAAATGATAAATGGTCTTCAATTTTTTTTTTACAAATATGTGAAAAGTGTGGAGTGCATTTGTATTCAGCCCCCCTGAGTCACAACATTGCAGAACCACCTTTCGCTGCAATTACAGCTGAAAGTCTTTTTGAGTATGTCTCTACCAGCTTTGCACATCTAGAGAGTGACATTTTTGCCCATTCTTTTTTGCAAAATAGCTTAAGCTCCGTCAGATTGGACGGATATTTACATATCCATATCCTTCACAGAAAAGTAGCATTCTTTACATTTCTTATTGCAAAATTAATTTCCAGAACTATACATGTTAACAATTTCTATGCAGTGGTATCCCCAGCTATTACATGTACAAAACATGTCCAAACTGATACAATCTGTTGGTTCTTGGGTTAGCTTGGGGTGTCCAATGTGTTTCAAAGCTTTTTTCATTAGCTCCTTCCTCAGGGAAATCATACCACTCTACAATATAAGGTTCTTATCACAATCAGCTACATCCACATTGCAACAAATGTTTCAAAGAAAAATAATGAATTATTTTCCAATAAAAATATTTTTCCTTACGTATATCATAATCTTTTAGATATGGAGGCCATCTAATGTAGCCAAGGTGTGATAAACAGTTGCCGCCAACACCCCGGTTGGATACACACAAGGATCTCTGAATCCTCACTGCCCACTGTTATAAAAGGAAGGAGGGGGAATAATACTACCACATCAATCCTAAGTAAGATGAATTATATGTCTCCCAAATGATGGGCTGAATAAATAGTTAGAAATAACATAATCAATTTTCTGGATTTGAATGAATGCTCCTCTTAATTATATATTGCAGTATCAAATATTACCACAAAATAATCTCCCTCCATGTTAATCAAACAAAACAAAACAATCCAAAAATAATTACACTTACAATGAGCCATCCATGGTTTGGGTTAAAAAATCTCCAAGCCACTCGCTTAAGCTGTTTCCACCTTGGATGTATGTTCAACAAATGGGTATTCAAAGATATCTCTTTATATAGGGCTGACTCCGTGGAAGGAGCCAAAATGCCCTCCCATAAGGAAAAAACTACAGGTTTTCCTAGTAGATGTCCTATAGAGGAGGAAAATCTTGTCTAACCAGGTCCTCTGGCGTTCATTTCATTCTGCGCATGCAATGCAGTCATTGATGTGCCGCTTGGTAACGTCACTTCTGGCATCATGACGCAATAACCAATCGTGTCATGTCCGGTTTCACCAGGGTTCCTGGAAATCCCAGAGTAGCATAGAGAGATGTGCCACTGGCACAAAAACACTGCATACCCGCCGCATTTAGATTGCCCTGTATTTGGCTCCATCAAATTTCCCATTATCTCTGACCAGCTTCCCTGTCCCTGCTGAAGGAAAGCATCCCCACAGCATGATGATGCCACCACCATGTTTCACGGTGGGGATGGTGTGTTCAGGGTGATGTGCAGTGTTAGTTTTCCGCCACACATAGCTTTTCGCTTTTAGGCCAAAAAGTTCAATTTTGTTTTCATTTGATCAGAGCACCTTCTTCCACGTTTGCTGTGTCACCCACATTGCTTCTTGCAAACTGCAAACGGGACTCCTCATGGCTTTCTTTCAACAATGGCTTTCTTCTTGCCACTCTTCCATAAAGGCCAGATTTGTGACTAATAGTTGTCCTGTGGACAGATTCTCCTACTGATCTGGGGATCTCTGCAGCTCCTTCACAGTTACCATGGGCCTCTTGGCTGCTTCTCTGAATAATGCTCTCCTTGCCTGGCCTGTAACTTTAGGTTGACAGCCATGTTTTGGTAGGTTTGCAGTTGTGCCATACTCTTTCCATTTTTGGATGATGGATTGAACAGTGCTCTGTGAGATGTTCAAAGCTTGGGATATTTTTTTGTAACCTGTTTGTTCACTAACGTTCTCTAACAAACCTCTGAGGGCTTCACAGAACAGCTGTATTTATAGTGAGATTAAATTACACACAGGTGGACTCTATTTGCTAATTAGGTGACTTCTGAAGAAATTGGTTCCGCTAGATTTTAGATAGGGTTATCAGAGTAAAGGGTGCTTAATGCAAATGCATGCCACACTTTTCAGATATTTATTTGTAAAAAATTGTAAAAATAATTTATCATTTTCCTTCCACTTCACAATTATGTGTCACTGTGTTTGGTCTATCACATAAAATCACAGAAAATACATTTACATTTTTGGTTGTAACATGACAAGATGTGGAAAATTTCAAGGGGTATGAATACTTTTTCAAAGCACTGTAAAAGGTTCACTTGTGTGGACATTTTCTCTTTGCGAGAAGCCTACTTCTCAGGTTTTGGCCTTTTTCTTAAGCCTTTTCTCTTAAATTTTCTAGCTGCTCCATAGCCAATGCAGCTTCCTTTCTGCAGATTTCTGGTTCAGTTCACTCCTCAGCTGAGCCTTGGCGGACCTGGAAGAAGGTGTGGGACCAGCCTGTAATGTTGCAAGTTGATTTCTTTAGGAGAGCTTTCCTAAGTTGGCAGTTATGCTCCCAGCTAAAAGGATAAGCATTGACAGGATGGTGTTGACCCCTTATCTCTAAGTTTATGAAAATTTGCCTCATCTGTTCCTCCGAGCCTGGTCTTGACAGTTATGCCGTCAAAGCCAAAGATCGGGAAGCAAGATGGTGGACCGACCCTTGAGGCAAAAAGTCTGGACAATCTGGAAGGTCCCTTAGAAAGTCTGCCAAGAGTCTGAGAATATTTGAGTACCATGTCAGCCAATTTGGTGATACAGGAGTAACTTGAATGCCCTATATCTCGGTCCTGCAGACCAAACAAGAAAGAAGCTGTAAAGGAGGGAAGGCATAGATAAGATTGAACTGATCCTATTGAGTCACCACAGCGTCCACTGTGAAAAACTGTAGGTCCTTTGTGACAAAATGTGGGCACCAGAAGATCAATGTACAATGCCCCCCCACTTGTGGTAAAGTGTTTGGAACAACTCTGGGTGGATAGTCCATTTCCCCGATTTGGATCCTCATGGCTGAGAAAATCAGCCTGTCAAATTTTCACTCCTGAGATGTGGAGGGCTGAAACATGCCTTTCCACCCACAAGAAATCAAGTCCACTTCTCATTGAGCATCACAAATTCTGGTGCCTTCTTGATGATTGTTGATGTAGGCCTCTGCTGAGCCATTGCCCAAATGGGCTCTGTTCAGGTGATATTGCAGCAGAGAGGTCCAGCCAAATTGCTCTGCATTCTAGTATTTTAACTAGTAGCCGACCGCAGATAGCCGAATGACGGCTGAACTGCAGCCGGCCAGTTCTGGGTGGACGTCATATGACGTCCTCCCAGAACGCGCTCTCCTGCGCTCCCCAGGGGGCGCGCACCCGCGATCTCCGTGATCGCTGTGTCCTACGGACACAGCTGATCACGTGATGTGGTAAAAGGCCAATCACAGCGGCCTTTTACCACGTGATCAGCGGTGTCCAATGACACGCTGATCAGAGGGAAATGCAAGTGCCGGTTCTCGGCTGCACTTTCCTCACGTTGTCAGATCGTGAGGAAAGTACTGCCGAGAACCGGCAGTTGTCAGAGTGGGGATCGGCACCGATCATCAGGGCACTGATGATCAGTGCCCTGATGATCGGTGCCCAGCAGTGCCGCCCGCAAGTTCCGCCCACCTATGCCCAGCAGTGCGCCCACTAGCTCCGCCCACCTGTGCCCAGCAGTGCACCCACCTGTGCCACTCTGCAGTGCCACCTACCTGTGCCCAGAAGTGCCACCCACCTGTGCCCAGCAGTGCCACCCACCTGTGCCCAGCAGTGCCACCCACCTGTGCCCACCCACTTGTGCCCACCAGTGCCACCCACCTGTGCCCACCCACCAGTGCTGCTCACCAGTGCCACCCACCAGTGCAGCCCAGCAGTGCTGCCAGTCAGTGCCACCAGTCAGTGCCCAGGGGTTGTGCCAGTCAGTGCCGCCAGTCAGTGCCCAGCAGTGATGCCAGTCAGTTCCGCCTATCAGTACCCATCATCAGTGTCACCTATCAGTGCCGCATATTAGTGCCGCCTATCCGTGACACCTCATTAGTGCTGTCTATCAGTGCCGCCTGTTCGTGCCACCTCATTAGTGCCCTTTAGTGCTGCCTATCAGTGCCCATCAGTGCCGCCTATCAGTGCCCATCAGTGCTGCCTCATCAACGCACATCAGTGAAGGAGAAAAAAAATACCTGTTTGAAAAATTTTATAATAGAAAAAGGGAAACTTTTTTTTTTCAAATTTTTTACATTTTTTTATTTTTAGTGCAAAACGTAAAGTGCCCAGTGGCGATTAAATACCACCAAAAGAAAGCTCTATTTGTGAGAAAAAAATGATCAAAATTTCATATGGGTACAATGTTGCATGACCGCGCAATTGTCAATCAAAGTGCGGCAGCGCTGAAAGCTGAAAATTGGCCTGGTAAATAAGGGGATATAAGTGCCTGGTAGGCAAGTGGTTAATAAGTCAAGCTTCCTCCAACAGTCAAGTCCCTTGTACTGAGAGGGCATTCTCCCTAGCTCAATAGGATGGCATCCGTCATGAGAATTATGCACACGCTTGGTGGACAGGGTTTCCCTGATTCTAGCACTGTTGGAAATCCACCTGCCAGGAAGAGTCTGGCCTGGTAGGTCTGATGCATGGGGCAGTCTAAGAACCACATCCAAGAGCACCAGAATGTTGACATGCAACAGTCTGAAGTGTAACTGGGCTTATGGAATTACCCTGAAGGAGGACATCATCAGGTCCAAGACACTCATGCAGATGCAAATCGAGGACTGCCCAAAGGGCTGATCAAAGGGTCTGGGCATATGAGCACAGGGACAAAGTTTCTCTTAGAGTGGGAAGATCCTGGACAGAACCATGTCTATTATCATTCCAGATGCTCCTGATGGGCACGAAGCCAAAAAAGCAAAGACCATCTTAGCTGATGCAATGCAGACCTTTTGGACACAAGTTAGAAGCTTTCAGATCCAAAGTGGCCCAAGTACCTTAATTTGCCTTGAGAACAATCAACAGATTAGAGTATAACTCTGAAATTGTTCCTCAATCTAAACTGGGGTAATAACGGCCTGTGAGAGAAAATGCTGAAAAATAGCAACACCCACCATTTTATTCTCTAGGACCTCTGCTTAAAAATACATAAAGTTTTTAGGGTTTCTAAATAATTTTCTGGGAAAAAAAAAAATGCAGATTTTTACATGTACTAGAGGAATGTCAAAATTGGAGGGGGGGTGGCGGAGTGGGGTGAAGTGATTAATGGGTTTAAATGCGTCCGGGCCCTTTAAGAGGTTTCTAATGTCGGGAGGTGGGGTGAGGTTTTCTGACTGGCTGTCACAGCTGTCACATGATTAGGAAGCTCCTGATCCCAAGTAGAGATCGGGAGCTTTCCGTTAGCTGGGGGTAAATGTGCCGGGAGCTTGCTGGGCGCACGCTGTTGGCACAGTTCTGTTTTTACATTCTGGTACGCATATATGCGGCCTCTCGCTATTAAGATCCGCATGACGAGAGGCCACATATATGTGTACTTTCAGCGTCAACAGGTTAAACTTATTTTTACCTTGTAATCATAATGTTTATAAAATGAAGTGGGGGTGTTGTTGGCCGAAGAAAAATGTATTCGCTGTTTTATGTGAGCACATGATGAACAATTAAAGCATTATGGACTCTCTTACCATTCGGTGTGGTGATCATCATGTATTTTGTATGCTTCAAAATTTCTGGGTTCCCACTGGATGGGAACCGTGTTTTTACATGAGCATCTTTTCCAAAGCAGTCAGCTCATTGAATAAATTTGGTTTCTAGACCAAACGAATAAGTGTTGAAAATCCAGTATCTCTAGATGATTTCTTTTTTAGAGCTCACTGACAAGGTGGCCTTTCACATTGCTTGCACTGCAGCAGGTCTTTGAGTTAGAGGTCTTATCTTGTAAAGAGCCTTTCCTGGGAGTGGTAGGTGTTATATAGGGGATGTCCCAGCAGCTTTTTTGCCAGTGCACAATTTCAGCAGCTATCTAGACATGCTTCTTGCTTATCGCCCCAACTACTGGCTGCAAATTGTAAATATTAAATATTTTACTGCAATATTTCATATTTATTTAAAAAAAACGTATTAATTGTTATCTTTTAGAATGGAACATAAAGTATATAAAAATGATCTTAAAAATTTAAATTGGTACATAATTAGCTTCAGTTCTTCAATTGAAACTGAGGCTACATGGAAGCACCTTGTGAGGATGAACTTTTACCTTTGGTAATAAGCAATTATCTGACTATTGTTACATTGTATCTTTCCAACTTTTTATATCTAATTTTCCATCCTTCATTGCTTTATCCCAGTTTGGCTAAGGAACTATAGAATTGTGTGTTATGTGGAAGGTTTATGGTGGTTTGTGCCTTGCTGTGATAACCGACCCTTTCACTTTTCTGTGTAGGCTGGTGGTACAGTGCTTAGTTCAGGGGAGCCGTGTCCATGTGATATAGACCAGCTTGTGCCACAGGAAACAGAGTTGCACACTGAAACAGAACATAAACCTTTGGTTTTTATACCCCAGGAATGGTCATCAGGTATTTTTTTTTTTAATCTTGTTTCACAAGACTTCATTATAAACTAATATGCTTTTTTTTTTACTGTTGTCCCTGGTATTTCTTTCTGTTAATTTATTTTTGGATGATTGAAGCCATGAAACATGCACTAAAATTTAAATTAAATGAATAGCGTCTTTAGACATTGTCCATCCAGCACACACACACCTTGTCTGCAAAGATAAAAAGGAAATGAGATTTTTGTTTTTTAACTCTGATCAAACTTTTTTTTTTTTATTTCTGGATATTTAGAGAAATTGTTAGGTTTTAAAAGCTGTGCTGGTATCTTTTTCCACAGAGATAGTAAACAAGCGAACATTGTATCAGTGGAGACAGACAATAATAGAGGCTCACAGGAGTTCTAACCCCCTACCCCTCTCTGTCCAGAACCAACAAAAATGTTTGGGCTGGCCTTCTAATTGCTTCAGGATATGAGAATGTAGTAAGACACACAGGGGTTTATTTACTAAAGCTGGTTCACTCAGAATCTTCCGTGCACTTCTGCATGGAATCCAATCAGCTTCCAAGTTTTAATGCTAAAGCTTAATTGAACAAGCTGAACTTAGAAGATGTTTGGCTACGTTACACAGGTGCATGAGGTTCTGTGTGAACCAACTTTAGTAAATCTCCCCCACTGTGTAGATTGTTAGTATTTCAGCTAAACTCCTAGCTCATAGTACAAAAAGTTGTAATAGGTGGTTAACCAGCACGTCAGGTTTATGCAGATCATTTAGAACAATAAAAGATGACTTCTGTATACCTGTCATGGGTTACTTTCATTAAAGGCCATGATCACTATAATTTTGGGTGAGTTGACACCCTCACTAGCTTTCAGTAATTCTTAAGAACCACAATGATGAGATCTCTGCATCTGAACCCTCGGCTTCATTTAACCATTAGCCGCCCGGCCTATAGCCGTTTGGCGGCCCGGCCGCAAAATGCTCTAGCTTTCCGGGGTGTACGCCATTTGGCGTTCCCGCACATGCGCAGTTCGCGCGGTTGCAGAGCCGTGCAGCGGTGCGATCTGTCACCGGCCATGTACCTCGGACATGGCCGATGACAGATCTGAGTACCGGCCCCCGTTGTCGGTACCATGTGACCTGCTGTGACCAATCACAGCAGGTCACATGACAGTTGTATACAATGGATGACTTCATTCATGCCATCCATTGTTTACTAGTGCCTAGCTGTGAATGGTCACAGCAGGTCACATGCACATGTCATGTGATTAGCTGTGGCCAAATCACAGCTAAGCACAAAAAAAAAAAAAAAAAACCTGAATGAATCGATGTCATTCAGGTAAATGCTTGCTTATAGCAAAGTAATTCTTTGCTATAAGCAAATTGTGTAAAAAAAAAAAAAATACTGATCACTTCCTCAAAGTAGTACAATGTTACTATGGCAACATTGTACTACTTTGGTCATAGTAAAATATGAAAAAAAAAATCTTAAAAAAAATAAAAAAAAATTTAATAAAAAATTAAAAATAATAAAAAAAAAAATATATATTTTTTTTTTCATACTGTCACCAGTCAGTGTCCCTGTTCACCGCCATGCCAGTTATATGATGACGCTGTACTGCACTGGTGACAGTATGTAAAAAATTTTTCATTTTCCGAAAAATTATGACAAAAAAAATACAACTTCAAAAAACTCGCCATTCCTCTTATGAAGTACGTCGGACTGTCTACTCTGCAAAAAGGGGTCATTTGGGGGATATCTGTACTATTCTGACATTCTTGGACCTCAAGAAATTAGATTGGCCGTCAGTACTTCAGGATTGATCAATATTCCGATCTATACCATAGTTTGTGAACTCTATAACTTTCCTACAAACTAAATAATACATCCTAATTTGGGTTATTTTCACCAAAGACATGTAGCAGAATACATCTCGGCCTAAATTTATGAAGAACAATTATTTATTTTGTAAACTTTTATAACAGAAACAAAGAATAACGTGTTTTTTTTTTTTTTTTAATTTTTGGTCTTTTTTTGTTAATTTAGCAAAAAATAAAAACCCCAGGGGTGATTAAATACCACCAAAAGAAAACACTAGTTTGGTGAAGAAAATGATAAAATTTTAGTTTGGGTACAATGTTGTATGACCGCGCAATTTTCATTTACAGTGTGAGAGCACTGAAACGTGAAAATTGGCCTGGGCAGGAAGGTGTAAAATTGCCCGGTATTGAAATGGTTAATATCAGTGCTATTAATGAAGGCGTCTTTTGCTCCCTACTAGATTTTTATTGTATTTTTCATTGAGCCTGGGTTCACATATATGCAGTGCAGTATATCGCGTTTGATGCGTACAGGAACTGCACCGCATTCCTGTGCAAATCACATGCGATTTGTGTGCGATGCGATTGGAGCCATACATGGCTCTAATCGCACCGCACCCGCAACAAAAGGGCGCAGGACCCTTTTTTGGGTCTGCACTAGAATCGGATCGCATGGGTATTCACACCTATGTGATCCGATTCTGCACATCGCGCCGCATTTTGTGGACAGCTTTCAGGGTGTTAACATACACACCCACAGCGGTTCGCATGAACGGGGTGCGATTCTGATGCGGTGTGGAATTCGCACATAAAACTTTGCGAATTCCGCACCGCATCAGTGTGAACAAGGGCTGAATATGCAGCAGGATGAGTGAGATATCTTTGCCGAAGCCAGAGAATAGAGACTTTGTAGTATTGGAGAGAGCTGAAAACTGCAATGGGTAAATTTTGATGCTGGAATCTGCTTTGGTTGACCTAGAGTCCAGCCAGAGCTGAAATATTACATTTATTGTATAATTCCAGTCAAAACCTTGTTTAAAGTGTGGAAGAGTTAGATTTGTGTTGCTGTCTTTCTCCCTATTGGGGAATTCTAATCTGATCCTGGGGACCATTGTCACTATGAAATAGTGAGAGGGAATCCAAACTTTAAGGATTCATTCGCAACTGCAGCAGCCCTTGTCACTCCTCTGAAAAAAAATCCACTGTGGATCACTTTTCAGAGGGCAGTCGACAGATGGCTTGGAGGTGATATGTCACTTACTTTCTGCCTGTTTTAACAACATAAAGCCCACACCACCACTTGGCCCCATTCATTGGATCATTGCACACGCACAATGTATACAACCCTGTCCGGCCGCTGCTATGGCTTAGGGTGAAAGATTGGCCAAGCAGTGGTAAAATCGTGGCTTAACCACCTATTTTTACTGCCCCCCCCCCCTTCCCTTTCTCCCCCAGCTGCTTCTGTGAGTAAGTCCTTGATATTGTTCACAGTAGAAGGGAGCTGGACAATATATCTTCCTATAAGGAGATATATCCACTTACTTGCTGTTGTGTCTGTAGGGAAAGGATGTGCAGTGAATTTTCCCCATTGGTGACACAAACCTGATAGAGGTTTTAAGCCTTGCCCACTCTATTCAAAGCTACATAAAGATATATTTAACGGATCTTTTAAAGTTCATGTCTGGGGGAAAAAAAAATAAAACACATTAGAAAATGCAAACCTATTGTGAGCACTGAGCAGGTATGACAACACCGTTTGGGATTTCAGAGCAGCAGAGAGCTTTGCACTGTCAGCTTATCAGAAGTTAGGCGCACACTGGATTTTTGGTGGATCGGCAGGCATTTTCCTGTACTTGTTTGTAGAGACAAAATTGGCAATTGTTGTGTAAAAGCCAGAGAGAAACAAGCTCAAAGGGTTTTGTAAATTCCCCATCTGTGGAGTAGAAAGAAGGTAAGAGCCTTATACCTAGGCACACATGTAGCATTTCCAGATATGTTCACGTTATCTTCAATATTTTGCATTATCAAGGAAGTATTATGTAATTGTCATTCATTGTAAAAGGTAACACAAGAATTTTAACATTTCTTTTCAAATGCATTCTTGTTTTCAGGTAGTGGTGTCCATTGGTCATCTCAGACTTGCAGTGGATTCCGATGGATGAGTGAAGTTACATCCTATGGTGGTAATGTTCAGGAAGCAACCCTCTCGGGCCTATCATCATTTAAAGGTAAATATACACTGGACAGCCATAACTTTATGACCACTGACAGGTTAAATGAATAAGATTGATTATCTCGTTCCAATGGCATCTGAAAGTCAGTGGGATATATTAGGTAGCAAGTAAACATGTTGTCTCTGAAGTTGATGTGTTGAAAGCATCACAGTTTGTTGTGTGTGGGACTGCATACCTGCAGACCATTCAGGGTGCCCATGCCGACCTGTGTCCACAGCTCCTAAAATGGGCATGTGAACATCAATATTGGACCACAGATCAATGGCAGTAGCCTGATTTGATTAATCACTTTTTCTGTTACATTGTGAATAGCCTGGTTTACATGCATTGCTTACCTGGGGAAGAGATGGCATCAGGATGCAGTGTGGGAAGAAGGCAAGCTGGTGAAAACAGTGTGATACTTTGGGCAATGTTCTGCTGGTAAACCTTGGTCCTGCCATTTATGTGGATGTTACTTGGCACGTACCATTTACCTAAACATTGTTCCTGACCAAGTACACCCCTTCATGGAAATGGTATTCCCCAATGGCAGTGGCCTCTTTCAGCAGAATAATGTGTCCATCTCGAGATCTCAATCCAATCGCATATCTGTGGTATGTGCTGGTAAAACCAGTCTGATCCATGGAGGCCCCCACTTACAGCTCACGGGACTTAAAGTGTTACTAAACCCAGGACCCTGCATTCACTATATCTGGTCTCCCACAGTACACAGAACATAAAAGTGCAAATATTTTAGTAAATATAAATACCTTTTCTCATCAGCAGCTAATGCTTGTAGGAGGAGTTTTCTTTCTGCTCTAGGAGGATTGAAATCCCGTGACCTCTGTCTGGACAGTGCTGATTGGCCCTGTGCTAATCCCATGCACGCTCCCAAGAAAAAAAAAAAAAAAACCTCTAACAATACAAACCAAACTGAGCATGTGCATGCCTACGGTTTAGTCTGGAGATGAGAGGGGGTCACTTGAAAAAGGGAAGGAACAGAGCAGAAAGGATCAAACAGCCTTTTTGTACAATGCAGAGGATTAACCCTTTAGGTTCCACAGTGAGTATAACAAGCATGCTTGACTGCATATATAGACTGATTTTAATGTTGTGGCTTTAGTAACACTTTAAAGGATAAGTTCACTGTCCAGGTTGCTGATTGCCCATACTTTGAACAGGCATGCAGTTACTTGAGAGCAGGAAGAATCATTGAACTACCAGAGAGCCCAACAGTGCCCTCGTAATTTGTTGAGAACTACAACCCGTCAGTTTCAACTTGTAGGTTATTTCATTCACAGGAAACTGAATGAATGATGCGACCTTGTGGGCAGAGCACCGCATGGCCACACTGCTTTTAAATTGTGAAAGCAGATGCAGGAAAGAAGATCCCCAGCCCACTATCACAGGAAGTGGGGGGATCAGTGGTGCAGGCTACAGATACTGGAAAAAAAAGAGGTGTAATATTTAACGTTTCCAAGGTGAACTTATCCTTTAAAGGATCTGCAACTGACAGCTTGGTTTCAGATACCACAGCATACCTTCAGGGTTCTAGTAGCATCCATACCTTGACGGGTCAGTTCTGTTTTGGTACCAAAAAGGGGACCTAGTCATTAGGTGGGTGGTCCTAAAGTTATGGCTGATCGGTGTACAGCGGGCATAAAAGGACAAATCCCTTCAGTGTTCTTGGTCATCATCAGGGATGATGGACCTTTACCTCACACATGCCAAGAACAGCTAAAAAGTTATCCTTGTGTAAGGCTAGTAAAGCTGTTTGGGAAGGGCTATAATTGTGTACTAATAATCAAGGTGTGTTTTTTTTATTATTCTGTAAGTCTAAAGAACACACTGCACATCTAAGACACAATTAATTGTTTGATCTTGGAATTTCTTATCCTTTTCAAAGGACAGTTGTAATAACTCTTATTATCATTGTGATGGCTGATGGATTTTACTGTAGGCTAATGCTGCAAAAGAGGGTCATGCTGTACTCATTAAAAACATATTTTGGGCAGTGTGTCTTATGCAAGTAACCTGGGTGTGGAATGGAAGACATGGAAAGCTACTACATAAGCCTTAATGCAATCAATAATCTTGTTTGAAAGTGTTGGTGTGGTATGTGTGTTCATATGTGTAAAATACCTGTCAGTGGAAGCTGGTTTGGAAGTGCGGTTATCTCGTTTTTTAAGAAAACAGTTCATTCATTTTTGATTGAGTGGAAATGCAGACAAAATGTATGTTAGTTTTGGATCACATGTTAACACTCAAATTTGTATTGGTATGTGCATTCCCTTTTTGGAGATATTTTCCTTCTCTTCCTGTGTTGTCGGTAAAACAAGATATATGCAGAATTTCATTAGTGAGTATATTTGTAGAAATAAAAAACCTGCCAGAGTCTCTAACACAAAACATAAAAAGAAAGTTTTGGTTGTCATCACACTTTAAATTTACATGGTATAATCTGGTTGATCATCCCTGCTGTGCAATATAGCATTTGCTATTTCGCAGCTTTTCCAACTGTCACAAATTCAACATTGATGATGTATTCTATTTTACCAAATGTAGATTATTTTGTCACAAGGTGCTACAGGCATGCAAATTTCTGTTGTTAAAGGGTATCTCCACCTTTTATACAAAAAAAAAAACTTCCTAACAGCCTCCCCACTCCTCCTCTCCCCATTGCATTTATCTACATTTGCTTAGAAACATCCATCACCCATGTCTACCGGTGTACTGATCTATACACTCTGTACATAGCCCCAGAAGCTATGTAGCAGCATAATGTGTGCAGCGCAATGGCTCAGGGTCATTGGTCAGAGTGGTCATGTGGCAGTGCTGACTAATGGCAGTCTTTGTTATGTGAGCGGTGGATGTTTCGAAGCAATTGCAGAAAAGTGCAGTGGGGACAGGAGTAGTGGGGAGGCTGTAAAGAATTAGTCTATTTTGTTTTCTTATTTTAAGGTATAAAGGTGGCGATACCCTTTTAAGCTGCCCATACACACAGTTTAGATTGTCTGAAGTCTTCTTCTTAGCTCTGATGATTTAACTAGTGTAGGCATTCAGTGCTGACAAATGTCAGTCCCGTGTGGGGGGAAGTAGGTACAGTTGTACCAAATCTACATACAGTGGGGATCGAAAGTTTGGGCACCCCAGCTAAAAATTTGTATTAATGTGCATAAAGAAGCCAAGGAAAGATGGAAGAATCTCCAAAAGGCATCAAATTACAGATTAGACATTCTTATAATATGTCAACAAAAGTTAGATTTTATTTCTATCATTTACACTTTCAAAATAACAGAAAACAAAAAAAATGGCGTCTGCAAAAGTTTGGGCACCCTGCAGAGTTAATATCTTGTACTGCCCCCTTTGGCAAGTATCACAGCTTGTAAACGCTTTTTGTAGCCAGCCAAGAGTCTTTCAATTCTTGTTTGAGGTATCTTTGCCCATTCTTCCTTACAAAAGTCTTCCAGTTCTTTGAGATTTCTGGGCTGTCTGTCACGCACTGCTCTTTTAAGGTCTATCCATAGATTTTCAATTAAGTTGAGGTCAGGAAATTGTGAAGGCCATTGCAAAACCTTCAGTTTACGCCTCTTGATGTAATCCCCCCGTGGATTTCGAGGTGCGTTTAGGATCATTATCCATTTGTAGAAGCCATCCTCTCTTTAACTTCAGCTTTTTCACAGATGGCATCAAGTTACCATCCAAAATTTGCTGAAATTTTATTGAATCCATTTTTCTTTCTACTCGTGAGATGTTCCCTGTGCCACTGGCTGCAACACAACCCCAAAGCATGATCGATCCAACCCCATGCTTAACAGTTGGACAGAGGTTCTTTTCATTCAATTCTGTGCCCCTTCTTCTCCAAACGTCTCCAACCTCATCGGTCCACAGAACTTGTTTCCAAAATGCATCAGGCTTGTCTATATGTTCATTTGCAAAGTTCAAACGATGATTTTTGTGGTGAGGACGTAGAAGAGGTTTTCTTCTAATGACTCTTCCATGAAGACCATATTTGTACAAGTATCTCTTTATAGTGGAATAGTGTACCACAACTCCAGTGTCTGCCAGATCTTTCTGGAGGGATCGTGCAGTCAAACGTGGGTTTTGAATTGTTTTTCTCACAATCCTGCGAGCTGTTCTGTCTGATATTTTTCTTGGTCTTCCAGATGTTGCTTTAACTTCCACTGTTCCTGATGACTGCCATTTCTTAATTACATTCCGAACAGAGGATATTGACATCTGAAAACGCTTTGCTATCTTCTTATAGCCTTCTCCAGCTTTGTGAGCGTCAACTATTTTCAGTTTCAGTTTTCTAGACAACTGCTTAGAAGAACCCATGGTGCTGATTGTTGGGGCAAGGTCAGATGAGTCTGGGCATTTAAAACCTTTGAGATTGACATCACCTGGTCTTCCCAGACAATGATTGAGAACAATCCATGACACTGGCAGGTCTCAGCTTGGCAAAGGGGGCAGTGCATGCTATAAATTCTGCAGGGTGCCCAAACTTTTGCAGACGCCATTTTTTTGTTTTCTGTTATTTTGAAAGTGTAAATGATGGAAATAAAATCTAACTTTTGTTGACATATTATAAGAATGTCTAATCTGTAATGTGATGCCTTTTGGAGATTTTTCCATCTTTCCTTGGCTTCTTTATGCACATTAATACAAATTTTTAGCTGGGGTGCCCAAACTTTCGATCCCCACTGTATATGCAATGATGTGGACCTCGTAGCCCAGCATTTTTCATCTCAGCTTTTCAGTATGGTACTGGATATTATTAGCCTACAAGCTGATTATAGGCATCAAAGGTCTGTTAAAGGATTTGTTCATCCATTTGTAACATGTTACACCTGTATTTAGGATGTAATATGTAACATGTTACTTTGGCGCCGTCCCCCTTACCCCTTCTCCCTGCACCCACTGGCATATTTTAAAAACAGTGCAGCTGTGCAAGGGCTTCACCCGCACAGCCACATCATTCATTTGCAGAGTCCTGTGAATGAATGAACTACAAG